GAAATGGACGTATATACGCAAAAGGACGTGGTCCAAGAACGTGAATACCAGAGTAGGAAGAGAAGGTGTTACAGGCTGTGCTGGTTGAAGTTATGATCTAGAGATGAGCGCGTGTCCGGACAAGAATTAAATACACGCTCAAAAATACAAAAAATTAAAACATGAAAAATATATAAAAAGTATACAGTACACGAAACGCGCTTCATTTTTATGAGTTAAATATCAATCAAAATTTCTTTAAATTTCTGCTTTATCACTAGATTTTTTCAGCTCAAGTTTAGGTGATTGTTTGGTTAATCTTGGTTCCTCGAAATATGTGCTCCATTTTGTAGCCAAAAAAAAATGTCTGTCGATTACAAAATATCAATAAAACATTATTATTTATATGGCATCGTGTTGAGTCGTGTTAGTTCGTGTTGACTTATGCTCAGTCTTTTTTTTGCCTTGTTAACTGGTCGAGCACGCAAGCATTCTGCTAGCCTAGCTCGTGCCACGCAAAGTAGAAGAGAAGTAGAAGCACACGATATTCAAGTTGCAGGCGCTGCAAATATTTTTTAATGAGCAGCGTCTAGTGAAGACGTCGCGTCGCCTTCATCATTAAAAATGTGCAGGCATCGACTTTGATGATTGATTGAGTTCAGTTACAGTTGGCTGCATGTCGTATGCATATTCCGAGCGAGGGCGGGACGTGGCAATGGCACTGTCATTGGTAGAGGCGACTGTGGCCATTAATTGCGCCTGAAAGCGTGCTGCTGCAATAAATTTGCTTAATCAAACTATTTAGGCGCAGTGTCTGTCACGCTGCGGAAGTCAAGCTGGTGCGCCGTGCCCATTAGTGCTGACAAGCGAAGGGACGGAGGAGAGTAAGGCAACTCGTAGACGGGCTCACATGTGTTGCATGCTTTTAGGCGTTGCTCAGACGACACACATAATCCTAATTAATTGCCAGCATCAAGCTCGACGGCGGCACAAAGCTTCACTCACTTGTGCCGTAATTCGAATGCATCCACAGCATTCACATTGCTGGCATCCTGACCGGCTCGTATCCCATTTGCCTCGCTTGGCAGGTGCACGTGAGCACTTCGTGTGCACCATTTAGTCGCCGAGTGGGACGGCGGCAGCAGCAGCAGCGGCAGCTGACGAAACAGAAGGCCGATGCTGGCTCGGGTAGCAGCCACTGTTCATTGCGTTTCATGCCATTGCCCCATTATTTCCTTTTGATTTGCTTTGGCTGCAAAAGTCGTGGCGTGTTGAATGGCGCCCAAGCGTCGTCCTCGTCGTCATCGTCGTCGTTGTCGGCAGCGAGCATTTCATGCACTTGGCTGAGCTTTGAAGTTGCTTAACGCGTTTGATGTTTGCTGCAGCAGCAGCCGCTGGGCCGATGCTCATTTGTATTGGGTGTGTGTATGTGAGTGTGGAGCCATAAAGTTTAATGCATACAGCGAGTGTGACAGCTGGCAATGGGGTCGTTTTCGGGATACATATCATTCAATAGCGTACAGCGAGGGGCATGCCGCAAAAAGGCCGAGGCAAAGTCTTTTGCAGGCACTGTAAAATCCTAAGAGCTGACATTGCAAAAGGCTACGGGTGTTACATATACGAAGGGCTACTAGGTGTACGGCCTATCGACAAGAGCAACGACTGTTAAACGTTTAAAATTTAAGTTTTACTCTGGACTGTTCAAGTAATATACACAATATTACAAAAAGCAATCAGTCTGGCATGTTATCGAACGGAATCATTGATATGGCTTAAAAAAGAATGCACTTTATTGAAAAATAGTAGATAATTTATGAAACTCTATATTGGGTTGTCATTACAATATTTTGACGTTTTCTAAAAGTAACTTAAAATTTTTTAAATATTTGGGTTATAATAAATGGATAGTATATAGATAGCTATATAAAATTATCTATTCATTATATAATTAATTAAATAGTGAATGACAAAGGATTTTTGGCAGTCTTATCGACTCAATTAAACATCAAAAGTCGTTTAATTAGCTCTAATTAAACAGGTAATCGTAGACAGGTAAGCCACTAGATTGTGGGCTAATAGTTTGGTAACATTAATTCTTTAACACTGTAAGTCTATATGCACATACTCTAAAAGTGTTTGATTTTTATCATATTTTGGGATACCCTTATAAACGACGTTAAAAAAAGCTAAAGTCTAAATATAGCAACTTTTAACGAAGGAGCCAAAAAAGATGGTAAACCCTAAAGACCAAAGCAAAACACGAGAGAAAAATTGCAAAAGTTTTGGCCGCTCGAAAGGCGGCAAGGGCTGTGCATAAGAGAGAGAGTTAGACGCTTAAGGCTAAAGAGAGGCAGAGAGAATGAAAAAGAGCTCGTTTTAAATATGCCGCAATAATCGAAGTTGAAGTCGAACATCAATGGCTGCCAAAGCAGTAGGGCAAGCTTCAGGGCGACGGCAGAGCACACAGCAGACGATGCCCGGAGCCGGTCAGAGCAGAGCAGATCCCAAAAAGTATGCAACACAATTTTAATTAGTTTTGAAAAGTATTTTAATTTTTGCAATTTGTGTGCGCCACACGGCGGCAGCCGGAGCCACAGAAATCTCTTGCCTATTGCCAAAGCAATTGTTACAGCACGAACGACGCCCATACAACGTTGGACCGAGGGAACAAGTCGAAATCTCGTTTAATGCGGCACTTTAATGATTATTAACATTATTAGTTGTAATGAGCGTCGTCAGCCCGTTTAAAGTTTGCCGAGCAAAATTTGCCAGCTATTCAAAGAATGGATGCGTAAAACAAAAGCCAGCAAAACGCAAAACCCAACAAAATAGAAAAAATTAAAAAAAAAAAAAAAAAAAAAAACTCAAAACTGTTAAAATAAAAAGCAAAAACCTAAGCGAAAGTTGAAAAAGTTGGTAGAAATTTTTGCAATTATTTTTCTGTTTTAATGCAATAGTGGCGTTTCCAGTCCCCCCCCCCCCCCCCACCCTTTTCGTACTTCATTTTACTCTTTTTTTTCAGCTTTGAAGCAAAAAGTTTGTTTAAACTATGCGGCCAGGCCGTTCTGAACGGTTTACATTTCGTCCGTCGATCTGTCCTACTGTCCGCCCGTCTGTCCCGGCCAGTTTGGCGGTTGCGTTAAGCATTCTCAAAAGTATGCTTTGATTTTGCGTCCGACGTTTGACGCATTTGCCAACTGCGTGCAATTCAGTGTTCGAATTGTTTGTGCTTTGGGTTCGCCCAATTTTTGCCGGATATATTTATTTTTTAGACTTTATGGTGTTTGCTTTGAGCTTGCTTTTTTTTTATTTCCAGAAAGTTTTTAAATTAAAGCCACTAGTTTTGGTCAAAGTTTAGCTAAAGTGGAAGTTATAAGACGAACAATTTTTAACTGAACTTACAAGTGAAATGAGGCAAGGCACTTACCTAAAACGAGAATAGAAAGGAAAATATATTAATTATTTTTTCTAATTATGGGAATGCCAAATAACATAAGAGTAATAATAATCAACCGACTGTCGGATCTGTCTTTTTTTCTAATGTTATTTTAAAAAATATATTGCGAATTTTGCTTTCGACTTTCATGGACTTCAAAAGCTTCCAAAACTATATATTTTTCCTTTAACTGAGCTAATCAATATTTGTCAATGTGTTGCCAGAAGCTCGTAAGACGCCCAATTTGCGGCTCAAATTCCGTAGCTGCCTTCGGCAACTATTTCAACCTAGAAGCTGTCGCGTCGCAAAAGCACGCACACACACACAAGTTAGGGTGCGCTAGGACTTAATTACACACAACTCATTTGCCGCATACAAAAACAAACTCTCCGGTGGCACAACCCTGGGACCCCACATGGGAACTGACAGACAGTAGACATAGTCGTTGTCGTCGTTGTCGCATTTGAAATAGAAAACCCAAAAAGGACACAAGCGGCGAGGACAACACATGACACAGAACAGAAGCTGAAGCTTAACCAGAGGCTGAGATTGAGGCAGTGGCTGTGGCAGTCGCCTGGTGGCAGCCACAATCAGTGAAGCGTGCAACTAACACAGACTTTTGTTTATATGTCATACAAATTACTCATACGTTAATAATTTAAACGGATGGCTGTTGATGATGGCCAGTCGAGGCGTCTGCAAATTTGCTTTGCCAATATAACCCACCGCCTCCACGCCATTGCTCCAGCCCTTAAGCATACTGTGAAATCAATATGAAATGAAAACCAAATACGCATTGCCCGTCTCTCTGCGAGTCTGCCTGTCTGCCTGATGGCCTGTCTAAACATAAAGGCAGCACCTCAAGCTTGTTTACTTTATGCCCGATAACTTTCATTATCATGCCCCAAAATTCATAGCCGAAAGCAAAGATAGATACATATATATGTACCACATACGTGTCCATATACTCTATGTACGACTGTATATTGCACGCTGGAAAATTCATTATTTCATCAATAAAACAATGCGGCAATCAATATTTTCGCTTGGCATTGGCTTGTTTGCCAAATTATGCGGACATACGTATATTTATATTACTGAGTTCTTATTTGCTTTTATTACATTTCATTCATATATAAAATGGACGCTAAAAGTGTTTAGGATATGCTCGTAATTCGTGTCTGCAATAAACTGACGTATTCTTTTGGTAAAAACTTAATAAAATAATCGGATATAAGTTTTTAAATATAAATGCAATTTTAATTGACGTAGGAAAAGAATAAAATTAAATTATCAGCAAGGTTATATTTTAGCAATGCGAACATTCACGAGTTTGGATCTCGTATTAACGTTTGGAAAAGAAGTAAAACATTTTGAAAAATTCGCAAAACAGTTTACTTTTTCATAAGCAAATAAAATACTTGCTCTTCTTTCCTCAAAACTATTCTGCAATTTAATATAAATTTTTGCTTTTAAATTTCAATAATAAAAGGTTTTAATTGATTTTAGCCGTCTTAAGCCAAATAAGTTCTTTAATTGTGTAAAACCAAATCGTTTACTTATAATACGAGATAAATAATAAGAATTATGCGAAATAACATTTTAGGATATATTCAAATCTAACCAGATTTAATAAGTTGTACATGGTTAACTATGTTTATGCTTCGAAATGGTACACACATATTTAATTTATATACTTAACTCAGACTGATGGTGGTTGAGATTAGTGAGCCAGCACTCGGAGAATCGTCAGGAATCGGAATCGTCATATTCATACTCTTGACCCACTTTAAGGTCGGGCCACTTCAATGGAGAATGCGGATCGCTTTCGCCAATTAAGTAACCCCCCTTAGAGTGGGGCAAGGGCAACAATATATTTGCTCCCGGTCTCAACTGTAACGGTAGCTCGGCAAATTTTCGCACCCACTGAACTATCAACGATTCAACTGGATGTTCACTGGTCTCATTTGGCTCTGCATTTAAATCATCTTCGTCTGGTATAGTAGGTAATTGAACTTGTTTAAGATTATCAGCGTGAGCCAAACGATTTTGAAGGTCAAACAAATAGAATTTACTATCTAAACGTCTAGCGTAAGGTAGACCAAGAGCATCAAGAATTCCACCAGCCTCGATTATACCTTTTTGATTCTGGGAACCAAACAGTTGGCATCTACCATCACGACGCAGTGCTGGGACAGGGCAGCCCAGTGTGTCCCATTGGAAAACGGTTGGTATTACAAATATGCCATCGTTATGCCTATGCCAGGGAGATAATATATATTTATTTAGCCCACCATCATCTGTTTTATCTATATTCTTGCCTTTAACCTGGCTCTTCAAATTTCTCAGCTCCTGTTCCTGAAAACATTTCTTTAGCTGCTGCTCAAGTATGGCAACTCTTTTTTTTGCTTCCTGGTAGATTTTGTCAATCATTTCTGTTTTCTGTCTTATATCGTTTGCATTTGGTTTCCGATGTTCGATCTGTCTGTGATGGCTTTCGCTTTCTTGGCATTTCATTTTTATTTCAACCTCTTGAGCTTTTCCAGCATTTTCCACTTTTTTGGTGTTCACTTTACCATCCTTAACATGGCCATGCTTCGATTGAACTGTTTCCCAGTACATTTTTTCATTTTCACTCATTTTTATTTCCGAAGGGTTGCATTTTCTGTCCACTTTTGCGGAGTTTTTGCTTGCCGTTTGGCAGGGTTTCGCGCATTCCTCGGGCTTGGTCATATTTGCGGCTTCCTTGCATTTCTGAAGGTGTGCTTCATTTTTTGGCCTGCATTTGTTTTTCGTTGCGGTTTTGTTTGGATCGGTGTTTCGGAATTCCTTGCATTTTTGTAGATGTGCTTCCTTTTGCAGCCTGTTGAATTGACATGCATTGCATTTATTTGGCATTTCGGTTTTATTCGGATCGGAGTTTGGATATTCCTTGCATTTTTGTGGATGTGCTTCCCTTTTCGGCCTGTTTAATTGATATGCATGGCATTTACCTTGCAGTTCGGGCTTATTCACATCATTGTCTAGAAATTTCTTTATTTGCTCGAGTATGAACTGATTCTTCTGCTTTTCGTTAGCTTCCAAGAACTTTTTCGGAAGTATCGGTCCAGCTGCTTGAATTTTACTAGTGTTGCTTTGAAGCTTCTGGTGTAGGCCCTGAGCATGCTTGTCTTCTAAACGCATTGAGTATGTACTTTTAAGTAACTCACATTGCCTGATAATGTCATCGATCTGTCTAACTTCAGAGTTAATATAATAAATATTAGATTGATCGTTGCTCACGTTCTTCGCATTACATCCTTTCTGCAGCGTTTCGACTTTTGATTGGAATTTTAATGGTTCATCTGAGTTGTTGCTTTGCTTCTCCTTCAATCTCGAGCTGTCCAACTTATCTAACGTTCGCTGGTACGCCATCCAGGATTTACTAAGCGCATTTATATTCGCATCCTTCGGATCCAATAATCTCTTCTCGTTTGTTTGCATGTCCTTAATGCGTCTGGCTTTCTGATAGCGCAGGTCATGCAATTGTGTCTTCGAGTACGCGCTCTTTGTGCTCTTTACAGGATCTAAGAATATGCTTTTATGTGTCGAGCTCAAATCGAAACCTGCATTTGGAAATTTTTGTCCAACAGTACTCATTTTAGCGTTGAGTGCCTTTTTGAGTATAGAAGTCTGGCTTGATTTTTTGCCGAGACGAACGCTGTTCGGCGTATTTTCGGTCGACAAGTGTCTTTTCTGATTGCGTAAGTTATTTCGCTTCTGCATATCATTGACATATTTCGCTATCTTATCTAGTTCCAACTCCTTGCGTTCAGAAAACTGTGCCTCAACTGGGTTACTGCAAATGATATAACTTTCCCATTGCCGCAAATTCTCGAGCGCCTCTTCGAACTTCTTGCTAGGCGGCTGGTTACGCCACAGATCGCTCGAGCTCTGTTTTACCCTGGAGAACAGCGTATTTACGTCACCTTCAAGCAAATCCAGTGTGGATTCTTTTTCAGACTTATTAAAAGCCGATAGGTCCTTACAAAATGTTTGGGTCAGGTACTTATCTTTCGAGTTCTTGGGTGGGCTACACATGTAATCTGACGAGGATTTTTCACTAGATTTGGGTACAGCGACATTTGAAAAAGGAATTGCCTTCAATTTTTTGAAGAGTATGTTTGCTTTCCCACAAAAATTTTCTACTGGATCGTCCGTCTCCTCAATATTGTTTGAAGAGTACATATTTGGATTGCCCTTTATGGATTTAGCTTGGCTGCACGAAAATGGCACTTTCTGGCCGGACTTTTTGCCAAGAGCACTTCGGACTGTTGCTCCTTTATCTACAATTTGGCGAGAAAGGGAAGGGGACCTTTGACTTCTAACCTGAAAATTTGACAGAGGATTTGAAACACCAGACTTTGATCCAGAATAAACTGATATAACATTTGGAGTATTCGGTTTCTTCTCCTGCATTTTGATTTCAGATTTTTTGCAAAAGAATTTCTCTGTACGCGAATCTGCTTTTTGGGTCTTTGGTTTCGCATCGCAGTTGATGCAACGTGTATTTCCAGATTTTTGAGGTTTTTGTTTGGCTGTGAAATCGGTAGACCGAATATTGCTGGGGCGTTGATCCAACAGTATGACGTCTTCTGTTGGATTTGGCACTATTATGGATTCAGCAACATTTTTTAATTGTTCTTGTTGCGAAGAGAAATAAATATTTAAAGATTTACGCTTCTCTGCCTTTGGCCACTTCATTTTTTCTGTATTGCATGCTATTATATTACTCTCTTTCGTCAACTGCTCTGGCTTTATTTCTACGGTCTTCTTGGAGACACGGTCCGGTATTGAAAATAGCTCACTTTTGGCAGATGATGGCTCCTCGCAATCGTAGAATTTGTCGCTCTGTGTTTTTTTTACCGAAGTGTTTGGTTCATACAATAGTTGCTTTAAGCGATCTAGAAACTTCTTAGAACCACCATACCAAGATGATTTAATTGGTGCTCGCTTGCGCGACATATGACGTTTGGGGTAGGCTTCAGCTTTTCTGTCTGCAAAAATGTGCCGCTTTGTAGAGCTTTCAGTTTTTTCTGCTGAGTGTACATTCCATTCGAAGTATACTTCATTTTTATTCTCAATTGGTAGACTTTGCCTGGCATAGATTTCAGTTGTCTTTTTGGCTGATGGTTTCCTGCTAGAATTTCTATCGCATAGGCTGGAATTGGAGTTCTGCTGGCGGGAGTAAGCAGAACAACTTTTAAATTTTGTTTCTGGATTCTTCTGAACGGCACGGCCAGCCACCCCAACACGACACGGCTCCTTTTCAGATGGATTCTTATTTGAGTCAATGCATCGCGGCGGTTGCGAACGCGGGGAACCCCTAATGTTGCGGTTTACTTCTGCCGGTAGCTGGCAACGCTTGCATCCGTTCAGAATTGGCTGCAGCTGTACACAATTGCAAATACGCCACATGTTGGCAACGAAATGCAAGTGAATTTTGTTCAAAATAAAAAACCAAATATGTATGTACTTATATATCATTTATATCTATGCCCAACGATAATTTTTTTTTTAAATCTGTTAAATCTGATGAGAAGACTGATTAAAAAGTCAAAACGCTTTCTGTATCATCTACAGTTTTATTCCGTTTTGAGCGTCCAATAATTCTTTAGCCGATTTCTTCAATGCATTTGTCTCCCATTCCGATAGCTGGGGACGAACGATGCCAAACAGACCCCATTTGTTTACAATGCATGGTAGCGATAGAAATATATTCTCTTTGATACCACACATTCCATTTGCATTCGTTGACAATGACAAGACACGATTGCTGTTCTCAAATATGGCAGACACCACATCGGCAACGGTTAGGCCAATGGCCCAATTCGTGTAACCCTTTCCTGCGATCACCTTGAATGCGGCATCTACTACATCCTTGTGCACTTTGGACCATTCCATTGGATCCTCTCCCATACCCATAGTGGGAATCAACTTCTGAAGTCTCACCCCACCCACAGTAACTGCGGACCACATGGGCACCGAAGATCCTCCATGCTCCCCAAGGACATAGCCGTGTACTGAGCTTGTCGATACGCCCAAAAGTTTGCCAATAAATAATCGGAAACGTGCTGTATCCAAATGACAGCCCGTACTGATGCAACGCTCGCAGGGTATTTTACCTACTTTGTGGGCCACCCAAGTCATGACGTCCGCTGGATTGGACACAACAATATACACCGCCTTGGGGCTCTGTTGGACTAGATCCGGTATTACGCTCTTGATAATGTCCGCACTCTTTTGGGCCACTTGCAAACGAGTCTCATTCTTCTTGACACGTGCTCCACACGCCACGATAACCACTCTGGAGTCTTTGGTAGCCTCAACGTTGCAAGTTGGCTCCAGGTTACAATTGTTGAGGAATAATGAGCCGTGCTGCAGGTCCAAGGACTCGGCTTTACACAGTTTCTCATTGATATCGTAGAGAGCCAAGTGATTAGTAACGCCCTTTGCGAGCAACGATATGGCACACCCCATGCCAACAGCGCCGGAGCCTATGACAGAAACCTTGTTGCCAAACTCGTAGTCCTGTTTATCAAAACTTTTATACAGACAGGTACGAAACGCATTCAAAAGTTTCTGGCTCTTGCAGTTGGAGCTCGACATTCTGCGAAAGGCAGTGGCACGTTCAGAATATACTGTAACGGCCTTCGCATGCAACCGTCTTATGCCTCTCCTAGTAACGCATGATGTGGGTGTATTTTGAATGCCGCAAAGGAAGTACTTGATGATCATGCCGAATGCTCTCACATAAGATTTTAGCAAAAAATTTAGAATCTACCAAAAGAAGAACAACTTTCAGAAACACATAAAATCTTAAATAAAAAAATGACAATTGTTAGCTGGGTTACTACGAGAAAAAATGTTTTTTTTTTTTAGTCATATTTCATTTTTTTTTATTACTGTTACAATTTTGATTATGTTAAACATCTCAATTTTTATTTTTACTGGTTTCGAGTGCTTTCATATTCAAGGATTTAAAAAGCAAAACGACGAAAATTTAAGCAAGAATAGGCAGACAGCACGCCTGATTTGAAATGCTATCACCAGATATATTCACTTTCGAGAGATATTTTTGAACCATGGTAATCCTTCAGAATGATACAGAATGTGGATTCCATACAGTTGGTTCAGGTTAGCAGAAGCTATATATCGCAATATAGTATGGATATTTGTATTCTTTTTTTTTTTTTTTTTTTTTGTATGATGGGATGTTTTCATTCGGTTAGAGTTGAAGGTATATATGAGCATAACTTAGCTAGCATAGACTAAATCTTGATTTCTTTTCTCTTTTTGACCTTGCCGTGGCAAAAAAAAAAAAACAACGATCATTTTAAAGGGTTTTATGGGCAGCAGGTATAAAGCTGTGCCAAAACCAAGCAAACTATATATTTATTAAGGATATTAAACTTAACTGAAGGCTCGGTTCATTTTTTGCTACAGTTTAATTGTTTTCTGTGCGTCCAGCAATACGTCTGCGGACCTTTTGAGCCTTCTTTCCTCCCAACCGGAAAGCTGAGGATGTATTACACCATACAGTCCACACTGGTTGACAATACATGGCAGGGATAGAAACACTTCATCGTCGATTCCACACATGCCCTGGGCATTAGTTGACAATGACATGATTCGATTGCTGTTTTCAAAAATGGCAGACACAACGTCTGTAACGGTGAGGCCAATGGCCCAATTAGTATAACCCTTACCCGCGATTACTTTGAAGGCCGAATCCACCACGCTCTCATGCACATTTGACCAGCGCATCGGATCTTTATCGGTGCCAATGGTAGGAAGCATATTCTGCAGTCGGGTACCTCCCACGGTTACGGAGGACCACAATGGCACAGAGCTATCTCCATGCTCGCCCAGCACGAATCCATGCACCGAACGCGTCGACACCCGCACCAGCTGCGCAATAAACATGCGGAATCGGGCGGTATCCAAGTGACATCCAGGACTAAAACAGCGCTCATAGGGCAGTTTGGTTACTTTACGGGCTACCCAGGCCATTACATCTGCTGGGTTTGATACAATGATGAAGACTCCTTTGGGGCTTTGCTTAACTAGCTCAGGAACAATTTCTTTTATAATGCCCGCTGATTTTTGGGCCACTTTCAATCGCGACTCGTTTTGATTACAGCGAACTCCAGCTGTTACAACTACCACTCTCGAATCTTTGGTGCACTCGACGCTGGTGCAGTGGTCAATATTGCAATTATTAAGAAAAAGTGATCCATGTTCCAGGTCCATGCACTCTGCAGCACACAAGTCCTTCTTCAAGTCGTAGAGAGCTATGTTATTGGTGATACCCTTGGCAAGCAAGGCAATGGCACAACCCATGCCCACGGCCCCAGCACCAATGACAGACACCTTATTACCGGGCTGAAATTCTTGTTTCTCTAGTGTTTTGTAAAGAATTGAGCGAAATGAAGTAGGATTTAGTTTTTGAGCCTCTTCCTCGCTCTTCTTCTGAACCGCATTCTCGCACTCGTTTAGAGGCTCGGCTTCATTATTTTTTGTGCTCGGAGCATCTGCTTCGCAATTTTTCTTTTGACTCTCCTCTTGTTTCTTGTTTTTAGCGGCGTCTTGCATTTTTTTCAATTCACACCTTTTCCTGAGGGCCATCTCCTCCACCTTTTTCTTGAGTTCTTGGCACTTTTTCTGTAAAGCTTCCGCTTCGCATTTTTCTTTTAGAGCCTCTGATTCCTTTTTAATTTGAGCATCTTTTTGATTATTACTAGCACTGTCTTGCGGTTTTTTCATGGCACACTCTTCCTTGAAAGCCATCTCTTCCATCTTTTTCTTCAATTCTTGGCACTTTTGCTCTAAAACTTCCTGTTCGCATTTTTTCCTTAGAGCCTCTATTTCCTCTCTAATCTGAGCATCTTTTTGTTTCTCTCCAGAGGTTTCTTGCTTTTTTTTCATTGTGCACTTTTCCTTGACAGCCATCTCTTCCACTTTTTTTTTAAGTTCTTGACACTTTTTTCGTAGAGCTTCCTCTTCGCATTTCTTTTTTAGAGCCTCTTCCTTTTTCTTTAGAGCTTCCTCTTCGCACTTTTTCTTTTGAGCCTCCTCTTCTTGTTTTTTCTTTTCAGCGGCATCTTGAGTTTTTTTCATTTCGCACCTTTTTCTGAGAGCGTCCTCTTCCTCCTTTTTCTTAAGTTCTTGGCACTTTTTCTGCTGAGCTTCCTCTTCGCATTTCTTTTTTAGAGCCTCTTCTTGTTTCTTCTTATCAGCGGCATCTTGAATTTTTTTCATTTCGCACCTTTTTCTGAGAGCGTCCTCTTCCTCCTTTTTCTTGAGTTCTTGGCACTTTTTCTGCTGAGCTTCCTCTTCGCATTTCTTTTTTAGAGCCTCTTCTTCTTGTTTCTTCTTATCAGCGGCATCTTGAATTTTTTTCATTTCACACCTTTTTCTGAGAGCGTCCTCTTCCGCCTTTTTCTTAAGTTCTTGGCACTTTTTCTGCTGAGCTTCCGCTTCGCATTTATTTTTTAGAGCCTCTTCTTTTTTCTTAAGAGCTTCCTCTTCGCACCTTTTCTTTTGAGCCTCGTCTTCTTGTTTCTTCTTTTCAGCGGCGTCTTGAAGTTTTTTCATTTCACACCTTTTTCTGAGAGCGTCCTCTTTCGCCTTTTTCTCAAGTTCTTGGCACTTTTTCTTTTGTTCTTCCTCTTCGCATTTCTTTTTAAGAGCCTCTTCCTTTTTCTTTATAGCTTCCTCTTCGCACTTTTTCTTTTGAGCCTCCTCTTCTTGTTTCTTCTTTTCTGCGGCGTCTTGAATTTTTTTCATTTGGCACCTTTTCCTAAGAGAGTCCTCTTCCGCCTTTTTCTTAAGTTCTTGGCACTTTTTCTGTAGAGCTTCCTCTTCGCACTTTTTCTTTTGAGCCTCCTCTTCTTGTTTCTTCTTTTCTGCGGCGTCTTGAATTTTTTTCATTTGGCACCTTTTCCTAAGAGCGTCCTCTTCCGCCTTTTTCTTAAGTTCTTGGCACTTTTTCTGTAGAGCTTCCTCTTCGCACTTTTTCTTTTGAGCCTCCTCTTCTTGTTTCTTCTTTTCAGCGGCGTCTTTAATTTTTTTCATTTCGCACCTTTTTCTGAGAGCGTCCTCTTCCTCCTTTTTCTTAAGTTCTTGGCATTTTTTCTGTTGAGCTTCCTCTTCGCACTTTTTCTTTAGTGCCTCTTCTTCTTGTTTCTTCTTTTCAGCGGCGTCTTTAATTTTTTTCATTTCGCACCTTTTTCTAAGAGCTTCCTCTTTCGCCTTTTTCTCAAGTTCTTGGCACTTTTTCTTTTGAGCCTCCTCTTCTTGTTTCTTCTTTTCAGCAGCGTCTTGAATTTTTTTCATTTGGCACCTTTTTCTGAGAGCATCCTCTTCCGCCTTTTTCTTTTGGGCCTCTTGTTGTTTCTGTAAAGCTTCGTCTTGTATTTTTTTCAATGCGCATTTTTTTCTGAGAGCTGCCTCCTCGCACTTTGCCTTAAGAGCTTCTTTCTCCTGTTCTTCTTTCTCTACTTCGCACTTTTTCTTTAAAGCCTCCTCCTCGCAATTTTTCTTTTGGGCTTCTTGCTCCTTCTTTTGGGGATCGTCTTCCTTCTTATTTTGGGCCCCCTCTTCTTGATTCTTATTAGCCGCCTCTTTACACTTTTTGCGTAAAGCCTCCTCCTCACATTTTTTCCTAAGGGCCTCCTCTTCACATTGTTTCTTAAGGGCCTCTTCCATGCACTTTTTCTTAACTTTTTCGATTTCACCTTTAATAAAAGCTTCCTCCTCGTTTTTTAATTTCATCGCCTCTTCTTCTAACGCCTTCCGTTGTTGAATCTTTTCACATTCGTCCTGATCAGCATTCGTTCCTTCCGATTCATTACTCGTTTTCTTTGGATGTACGTCCTTTCTATTCTTAGGCTTTACTGTTACACTTTCCGCGCACATTTCTGTCAACACTTTCTTTCTACATTTCTCTTTAACAAGCTGCGACATGCATTTGTGAGATCGGGCTAGCTGCATCTTTTCACTATTGCTTAGTGCATTCCGACACTGACAGATATCTTCCCACTCTTTTTGAATACATTTCTCTAATTTCAAAGTAAATTGATTTTTAGGCCCATCGGAGTTATCAAACGGATTCTCCTTATTTGCCAATTTACAGCATATAGATTCTATTGGATCGCTTTGTTCCAAGTCATCACCTCCGTTTTGTTTTTTAGACTTTTCCTTACTTATTTGATCCTTTACTTTTTCTTTAACCTTCTCCGTTTTTGACTTGTTTTTCGATGTTTCTTTTTGCTGGCTTTGATCTTTCTCTTTTTGGCTTCCATTACCATCTTTTCTTACGGTACCTTCCTTACTTCCCTTCCTCCCTTTCTTTGATTTAAGCTCCTTCGGTTTTTTAGACGATTTTTTTGAGTCCTTTTCCTCAGCAGACTTTTTTTTCTCGCAATGCCTCAATAATTTCTTGATCTTATCATTTTTAGCCATCATTGCCAATTTGTTTTCAAGTTCTTTATCATTGCAAAGCTTCTTATGAGCTAGTTTTTTACACGCCTTCTTCATGCCTCTTGTCAAACATTCCATCATACTTTCCATTAATTTTTTTTCCTTCTGGTCCATACAATGCATTGCGTCATCCAGAAGCTTCTTTTGACTTTTCATACATTTTTCCTCATATTTCTTAAGTTTTTCTTTTTCTTTCAGCTTCTTGCAGGCCGCTTCTAGCTTCTCCTTTTCTTCTCGCTTTTTATCCATTAATTTCGTGTAGTATTCACAAGGATTTGGCTTGTCTTCAGAGGAATCCGAAGAATCCGATTTTTTACAAAAGCTCACGCGTTGCATGAACTTTATCGAAGTCCTCGGCAAACGCATTCGATCCAAATAGCCCGTAAGCAGAAAAATGCTTCTCAAAACGGACTTACGGACATAAATGGATGTAAACCTATTAAAAGACATGCTGTAGGCCTTATTTAAATTTTGACGCCGCAAATAACGAAAATAATAAAATTTTATGTAGTCCAAGAAATTGTTGTGGCTAAAATTTTGACATTATTGAGGCCCGAAAAAAAACTGTTTCGTACACTAGTCTAATTGTAACTGAGCTGCTTTTCAAATATTAAACTATACACTTTTTGAAATGAGTACTAGATATGCATATAAACAGGTTAGTTAGCACGGAAAAATAATTGTACAATAAAAATAAAGATCCCATTTATTCCCTTTCTTTGATTCTCAGCCTTTAATATAAGTAAATTAATTTTGGAAAATGCAGGAAACTTTTTAAGCTAATCTAAATGAGTAGCATGCATTTCATAGAATCCTTTAATTATTTTATTTACCGCTTATTTGTATTTTAAGCAGATGCAATTAAGAAACATCCGTCAATACCCGATACATACTATATCCAGTTGTTGTTCCAATACAAGCAAAAACGCTAAAAAAAAACAGCAACATCGCTTCCCACTTTTCATGTTTACACAATTGGTAATAAAATATTAATGGATGTTATTGGCTCCAAATTAACAACCGACTTTATTCATCTACCTGATTTTGAGATATTTACGTTAAAAGGAACAAGTTTTTATTTAAAAAAAATGTATATAATCCATGGCGTGAGGGCTACTTGACTATATTTTCAGCGTATCATTCGGTTATTTGAATGGATCGCATTCACACCCCTTAGTTGCGGCATCTTTCTGTTTATTTTTTTTAAGAGCCTCTTCTTCGCGCTTTTTCTGATGAGACTCCTGTTCACATTTTCTCTTGAGGTCGTCAAATTTCTTTTGCAGAGAGTCCTGTTCATTGTTTTTCTTCAAAATTGTCTCTTCTGCCTTTCTCTTTAGATCCTCATCTTCTTTAGCTTTTTTAAGAGCCTCTTCTTGATTAAGAGATTCCTCCAGCTTTTTTCTAAGAGCCTCTTCTTCCATCTTTTTTTCTTGGGCCTTTTCTTTTTGCTTTTGACTCGCCTCTTCGCACAGTTTTTTAAGCTCCTCCTTTTCTTGGCTTTTCTTAAGAAGCTTGTCCTCGCACGTTTTCTTAAGTGACATCAGCGTTTTGCGTAAAGTTGCTTCGTTGCAATTTTTCTTTAGAGCATCGGCATCTTCTCTTCTTTTTTGAGCCTTTTCTGCTTCCTTTGCCATTAGGGCATCTTCTTCTGTCTTTTTTTTAAGAGCTTCATCTTCTTGCTTTTTCCTGAAAGCTGCTTCTTCTGCTTTCTTTTTATTAGCCTCTTCTTCTTTCAGTTTATTAAGCGCTTCCTCTTCCTGCTTTCTCCTTCTTGCCGCCTCCTCACACTTATTCTTTAGAGCCGCCTCTTCTTTTTTAAGAGCCTCTTCAGCTTCTTTCCTTACTGCATCCTCTTCTTTATTTTTCTGTTCTTTATTTTTCTTGGGAGCCGCTTCTTTACGCGTTTTCTGTGCGGCTTCCTTTTCGCACATTTTCTTTGGAGCATCATCCTTTTTTGTTTTTTTCTTGTTGCTCGCATCTTGTTTTTTCATGTGAGCTGACTTTTGGCATTGTTTATTAAGTTCTTCCTGACAACTTTTTTCGTTTGTACGATCACCTTGATTTTCCGTTTTATCTGCCCCCTTAGATTGATTCTGAAAAGCTTCCCCCATACACTCGCCTTGCTGTTTCTGTTGAGCCTCTGCCTCGCACTTTATTTTCTTAGCTTCCTCTGTTTTAATCTGTTTCTCTGGTTTTTTTTTTTGAGCCTTATCGTCATTCTGATTTTTTTTAGGCATGTTCTCACACGGTTTCTTAGGATCCCCCGCGTCTGTCTTTTTCTTTTGAGCCTCCGTATTTTCAGCTGTCTGTTTACACTCGTTCTGCTGCGCTCGATCTCCTTGATCATCCTGCTGTTTTTTATCGAGCTTACATTCCGAGTTTGGTTCTGCAGATGTGCCACACATCTCGTTCAATACCTTTATTTTGCACATATCCTTTATTTGAGCGGCAAAGCACTTGTGAGAAAGTGTAAGCTTTTCCTGCTCTTCTTTTGTTAGGCTTTTACGAGTCTCACAGATATCGGCCCACTCTTTGCGAATGCATTTCTTTAGTTTCAGTAAGTATTGCTCTTTTGGACTGTCCGATTTTTCGGTCGGTTCCTTAGTTTTACACAATTTTAAGTAGAGACATATATTTTCTATTGGATCCACGTTTTCCTGACACAGTTCGGGCTTATCACTTTTATCTTTATTTGACGATTCAGCCTCCACCGATTTTGCTGAATCTTTTTGGCAACTATCTTTCGCTTTATCGGCCATTTTGTCTTGATTTTGTTGTTTTACCTTTGTTTTTTCTTCGCTTTCTATTTTTTTCTGTGGTTTGTCATCTTTTTTTTCCGCACCGTCTTTTTTCTCATTTTTGGACGCATCTTTCGGCGATTTTTTCAGGGATTCTTTGCAAGAGGCTATTTTTGTTTTGCCAGATTCACGATGCTCGGCTTTTTGATTTTTTACCTTTGTTTTTTCTTCGTTTTCTATTTTTTTCTGTGCTTTGTCATCTTTTTTTACCGCATCGTCATTTTTCTCTTTTTTGGAAGCATCTTTCGGCGATTTTTTCAAGGATTGTTTGCAAGAGGCTGCTTTTGATTTGCCAGATTCCTGATGCTCGGCCTTTTGCTTCTTACACTGTCCCAACAACTTTCTGATTTTATCTTTTTTAGCCAATTGGGCACACTGATGTTCAAGATCTTTTTCTTCTTTGAGCCTCTGCTCGGCTCCTGTCTTACATGCCTTTTTCATGCCTTTTTCCATGCACTGCATCATACCTTTTAGTACCATTTGTTCCTCCTTGCTCATGCTCTGCATCTCCTTATCCAAAGCTTTCTTTTTTTCCGCCAAACATAATGTCTCGAATATCTTTAGCTTTTCCTCATCTGTCTTTTTCCCCGCATCATTTTCCTTGTTACAATTCACTTTCTCCTCTATGTTGATGTGTTCTGTATCCGAAGAACCAGTACCAGAACCACATTTACTACTAAAGGGAAATCTCTGAAAGTTGTTTAACGAGGCCCTCGGTAGATGCGTTCGCTCCTCATAGTCGGTTATGATGGAAACGCCTCTGGTGAGGGCTTTTCGCAGAAAAAATGGTAGTAAAGCGACCAAAAAACATAGTCGGTGGATTCTAAAATTTTGTGGACCAATTAACCAAACTATACCAAATGTCTTTACTAGATGTAGTGTAAATTTTGGCTTATTTTATTTACAGTTTTGGCTAAAATTTTGACATAATTGGAGCTCTAAAATAAACTAAGTGAGATGCCTGAATTTTTTTTTGACTGTGTAGATTTTAAAAATTTTGAATTGTCCCATTATTTGTAAACTTTGCAATAGGACTTGCTCCCATTTGTACACAGCGGGCCGTATCGTTTCTGTCATTCAAATGTAGCATATAACACAAGAGGCTCAAGTCAGGAGTTTCCGACTAGGAGGTGCCCTGAATCCTCTTCTACCAACTCCATATGCCGCTCACGCTACGTGCTCGTTTGCTCTAGCGTTAATAAAAATAAACTTACAAAAATCTCGTGCCCTTAATAGGACTCGAACTCGTATCACTACTTGCAATCGTCTCTAATGGCTCAACAGCAAAACCAACAACTATTCGATACTGAAAAATTAACTAATTTAAATAGCAGAACATGCGCACAGCACAGAATAAAATACAAATCCAATTTTTCAATATATCCCATTGAATATTTGTACAATCTCAAAATGTCAATTGCATTTTAATTGTGGCTTAAATTGGTGGGCAATACAAATTTGTTTATTTACTTAACTTATAGATATGTGTTGGTAGCGGGAAGGTTGCGATAGCTATAAAATGAAAGATACTTTATATATATATGTCGGAACAGAGAAATCACTTTCTTTGCAATTAGGCATACTGGCAGTACAGCAAGTCCCGAGTGTCGTTATAGTCACAAAATAATTATATTTTTAGGAGCGAGCACGTCTGTTCTCTATGACTTCCACTTTTAGAATCAATAATTTTCATCGTCCTCGAGCATACTACTCATGCTCTTGTCATTCTATATTCTTCTCTGACTTTTAGTACTGTTAGTGAACATTCAACACTATAGCAAACTGGACGTTATACAACACACTCGGGCCATGCTCGGCAGAGACTATCTTTTTTGTCTCACACCATGCTTTCAGTAGCAACCCTAATACAAGTAGGACAGTTATGTTAAATAGCAGTACCTTCTGTCAAATTCTCTGATTCTTACTAACACTTAATCGTTAGCATTCAAAATAATACTCACAATAATTTATTGGATACACGACACGGCCTTCCTGACATTTCACACGTCCTCGTGTGTACATTTCGCTTAGATCATGCCATAGTCAAAATTGTTGGGTAAAATTTATTAGTCATTACTTTACTTTAAGAATAGCTTTACAAACAGCAGTATCATCGGTCATTGTAGGTTTTATTTTTTTTTATTTTTTTTTTTTTTTTTTTTTTTTTTTGTTGTTGTTCTGTCATCACACGTCTATAGGCTCTTGCTGCCCAGCAACGATAACATGGAGCGGATCCATACAGGTCTTTCAACCTCTGACCCCCGCCATAATATCACCCGCTTCAGCACGCCATGATCGAGCACTTGTGCACGGCGTGAGTATTATGGTGCGGTCTTAGCCATCGTGTATGAGCCCAACCGCACTCTCTCTTAGTGCCACAGTGTCTTGAGCAATGTCCTCAACATTGTCACACTCATCATCTCTCAAATCTATCAACTCCTCCGATACATTGTTGCTTGGAAAAGCTCGCAAATACTCATGTGCATACTTAAACGTGCGCTTACTCGTCAATGACTTTAATAAATATCTGTCTCCATCAAGTATTTCGATTATCTCAAAAGGTCCCTTAAACTTGGGATCTAACTTCGTTTGATTTCGTTCTTCCCTCTTGAGTAGGACATGATCACCAAGCTTATATTTTACAATTTTTGCTTTATTTTTATCAAACCTAGCCTTATCATATTTAGCGTTATTCACCATGTTATCTTTCGCTTGTGCTCTTATTAAATCTTTATCAATTGTTTTTTCATCTGATATTGTTATCATTCCTAACGGCCTTGCCTCTTTACCGATT